TTTGCGGATTTGTTATCGTGATTTTCGTGCGTTTTCATTCAATTGTTTCAACCAGTGAAAAACATGAAAAAATACGGAAATTTTAAATATTGTTAGGTTACGGTAGTTGTCGTTGTAAGACCTTCGGCCACGGCCACTGGTAGTTCTCTTCCGATTTTTCCGCACCAAAATAATAAAACGGAATGCGAAAAAAAACAAAAACTTTTAATTTTTCAAAATAGTGAGAAATATTTGAAATTCGAGCACATCAAAAATTACCGTAACCACTCTAATAAAAAGCCACTCTAGCCGTTAACTTTCAGCTTGTATATATCGGCTCTTGTAGAAGATATCAAAAAAGTGTCAACTGATAAATTATTTATCATAACATCACAAACATTTTATCAGTTGACACATTTTTGATATTTTTTACAGGAACCGAGTTATATAGGATCAAAGTAAAAAGTTTGGGACGTTATGTTAAAGTGCTTATGGTATAAAATGTGCCTGTATATCTCGGTCCCCGTCAAAGATAGGAAAATTGGTAAATTGGTAAAAACTGGTAAATTGTTTATGATAATATTACAAACATTTTCTCAGTTGACACATTTTTGATATCCTTCACAAGGACTGAGATATTGAAGCTCAAAGTAGAAAGCCAAGGGTTGGCGTTCTATCAGAGTGTTTATGGTATTTTGCAGGGTTACTGTAGAGCAAGTTATTATAATAGCAATTTTTCAGAAAATTAGAAACTTAAGCTTTTAAAGAAAACTCTTTGAATCACGGTCAAAAAGTATCCTGGAATTATGGTTTGAAAAAAAAAAGTGGACGAAATAAGAAATTACCGTTAACACTCTAATAGAGCGCCACCCGGACCATCCACTTTGAGCCTATGTCTTTCAAAAGATATTTAAAAAAACGATCAATTAAAAAAACTTTTATCATAATATCAGCTATATTTTATTAGTTAACAACTTTTTGATATCTGTCACAGAAAGTTAGATAAATAGGCTCGCGTTCTATTAGAGTGTTTCCGGTAGATTTCAAGTTTGAAAACATTCGAAACCCAAGCCATGAAAATATACTAAAACCAAAACTGGTCTAATCCCAACATTTCAATATATTTTTTTTCCATTTTCACAAAACTCACTTTGACAAAACCGCTGTGTCCTTCCTCCCCAACTAACTCTAAAATCCGATATGGAATAGTGTGGATCTGGAGGAGACGCAGAAAAAAGAAGGAGGCGGCTGATCAAACCAAAATCTCTCTGTGAATATTGTTCATCCAACTGTCTCTATTGTTGACGTTTTGTGAATGTGTGTTTGAAAATGTGATGATGATGATGATGACACTGTGTGTGCAACACAAAAGAAATATGAAAAGCGAAAACTTTTGGTTAGATCATTGAAAATTTATTTAGGGGAAAAAGGAAAAAGTACACAAGGAAATCCAGATCTTGACCTATTTTGGGAAATGTAAACATGTAAAATCTTGATGACGTGGAGATATTCTGGTGGCGGAAGGTCCACAACGACAACTACCGTAGCCAAAAATATGCCAAAGCCAATGGTCGTTTCTCTTCCACAGCTCTATTCTGGCAAGTTTTCATAGTCCTGTATTGGTTTGAAATTTAAACGAAGCACTGTCGTTCCATCATCCAAATTTAGCACTTTTTGCCCTTTGGAATCCACGATGACGTCATAGGACATCTCTTTGAGACACTGAAAATTGATTTACAGTGTGAAGCTACAGTAACCGTCAATAAAGTATACAGAACACGAATTTCGCAGTTTATTCTCGGCCATTTTGACAATTTTCAGAAGTCTGAAGCTCGGCTGTCAACGCTCCAATCACTTTGAAAATTTTGGAGTATGTAAAATTGACCTAGATTGAAAAATTTGCATTCATAGAACTATTTGAAACTCCTTAGTTTTTCAGCTATTTGTCGATTTCCGAAGGACATCTTTTTCACGTTTTACAAAACGGCCAAAAAGAAAGACTTTTCGAAATCGGCAAATAGCTGAAAAACTAAAAAAAAAATTTTAATTCTGTGAATGCAAAGTTATCAATACAGGTATGTTTTACACCCTCCAAAATTTTCAAAGTGATCGAACACTCACAAGCCGAGCTCGAGACTTCTAAAAATGGCCGAAAATCTACTGGAAAATATGTTTTTGTATATCTTTCTGACCGGGACTGTATCTCGGTTCCTATAAAACATATCAAAACGAACGTAGGCAATTAATAAAATGCTGCTGGTATTATGATAAGTATTTTATCCGTTGACCGCTTTTTGATAACTGTTACTGGAACCGAGATATATGGGATCAAGAATAATGTTTACCTTAAATCCGGCTTTCTCGAGAACCATCTGATTAGCAATCGAAGTGGTTTCGGATAGCACACCTCCTATGTCGTATTTCTTCAAAAAATTAAATTTAAGTCAAAATCACTGGAACGACCGACTCACCCTCAAGTTAGTTTTCGTCAAATTTGTATACGTCATCTTAGTTGCGATTCCGCCACGGGTGAACTTGGGAGCCACACTTCCAAGCTCCCTATGAATCACAGCATTCACTCCAGGTGGAGCGATTTTCCAGAAGTTTGAGTGAGCCGTATTCAAAAATTCGACTGAAATATTAGAAGATTGGTCTACAGGAATTACAAAATACTCACGAAACAATCTCAATTTTTCCGGAACACCTGAATCGTCAAAATCCGCATTTCCAATTGGATCAGTGCGATTCCAAACCGACGCTACTAGACACCCAGCCAAATCTCCATTCTCTTGGAGGACTACTGTAGAGAAGGGGTATTTTAGGCAGCGGGTTACTGTAGTTGTGAATGTGTTGTGCGTGATTTCGGGGGAGAGTTTCATGGCCTGAAATTAGAAAAAAGTCGGGGTTTGTGGATTCGCCATTACTCACCCTTGCACATGGTTCCTCCTTGGCGAAATGATTATCCAGAAACTTGATAATATTATCCTTATCTTTGGGTTGTGCGGCTCGGAATAGGAGTTGTTGTCTTCGCAAAACTCTTGATAACAACATCGTAAAATAGATCGAATACTGGAACGAAAACTTCAGATTCAAAAAAATACCATAAACACTCTAATAGAAAGCCACTTGTACTTTGAGCTCATATAACTGTTCCTGTAACAGATATCAAAACGTCGTTAACTGATAAAATGTTCATGATATTATGATACATATTTTGTTTGTTGACTACGTTTTGATACAGCTAACAGTAACCGAGATACAGTACCGTTCAATACAAAAACGTAATTTTCAAGATTTTAGGTCACTTTCACAATCAGAAGTCTGGAGCTCGGCTGTCAAGTTTCCGATCACTTTGAAAATTTTAGAGGATATGAAACAGACTTAGATCAGACACTTTGCATTAGCAAAATTTTTAGAAAATTCCTTTTTCTCCGATTCTAAAAAACATCCCCTTTTGTCCCGTTTTTGCACTGAAAACGAGAAAGAAATCTGTCTTTCAGAAACCGGCAAGTAGCTAGAAAACTTCTGCCACTGCGAAGTTTTCAATCTAGATCTGTTTCACACCATTCAAAATTTTCAAAATGATCGGAAACTTCACAGCCGAGCTTCAGACTCCTGAAAATGCCAAAAAATCAACTGGAAAATATGTTTTTATGGGCTCAAAGTGCAAGTCTAAAGTGACCTTTTATTAGAGGTATACCAAGTGGAAAAGTTAGATACTTCCTCGGGTAGAGGTATTTATGTTATCAATCAATGATAACAACAGATAACAACAAAAGTTTGAACTGTGGTGAACGGAGGGGGGGGGGGGGGGGGGGTAAGACAAGTCAGCAGGTTGTTTTGTTGATTTTCAAAAGTTCGTTGATCAAAATATATTGCGTTCTGTTACTTTGTTATTCTTTAAACTCCATGGAAAGGCATAAGGCACGGTCGGTTGTGTAACAGCATTGTTGTAAAAGTTGTGCTATCGATTCTGAAAAAAGAAATCAAACAAGTAAAAGTTCTAATTGACATGTCAGATTGTACTTTGATTGTTTGCATTGAACCGATTGATGCTAATGATCATGTGATTCTATCCTTTTCTTTTTATCATCAAATTCTTCTGTTGCAGAAAATCTTTATAAGTCAAATTGAAAAAAAAGTCATTCTGGAAGATCTCCATAGTCCTCTATTGCTTTGTAATTCAGTCGCAGAGCTGTAGTTCCATCATCCAATTTCAGAATCTCATTTCCTTTTGAGTCCTTGATATCGGAGTACGGTAGTTCCTTTAGATGCTGAAATTTTTGAAAATATATAATTAAAAACTTCCAAAATCAGCTTGCCTTGAATCCTTGCTTCTCCAGAAGCAACTGGTTTGCTAACGAAGACGTTTCAGATATCACACCACCAATGTTGTATTTCTAAATCGAAACTTTTCAAATTTTTGAATTAGCGGATTCTGAATTCCTGAATATTCCTCTTTGTCATATTGGTATATACCATTTTTGTGGCGATTCCTAGACGAGTGAATTCTGGAGCAACACTTCCCATTTCTCTGAAATACAGTCAGCTGAAATCTTATAATTCAATTTTTTGAAAAAAAAAACCTGTGAATAACAGAGTTGACATGTGGCGGGGCGATTTTCCAGAAGTTCGCATGAGCATTATTGATGAATTGGACTAAAGTTGACAATTAGATTCACAAGGTGGCACATAATCACAGAGACTAAAGTTTGTACTAACACAAAATTAAGGTAAAGCGTTTTACTGGGCTCAAATTTGGAGGGGGAACATTCCAAAGTAAACTGACCAAGTTTCAAGATATTTAATCAACTTTGAGCTGAGTTATCGCTTATCAAAGTTGATTCCGTTGATCCAACGGTATTCATCTTTGGGAAATCCTAACAATACCTAGACTTGAGGAATTTCTCTGAAGATTTCAGCAGCTTTGAATCAAGCTTAAAGTTATAGCTCTACCAATTTTCGTGCTTCCAGGAAAGTTACGCCTAAAGATACACCTGTTTTTATCAGTCAGGGTAATTATACGACACCCTGTGAATCGAAACTAAAAATGCAAAACTCACCAAACAATTTCAATTTTTCCGGAACACCTGAATCGTCAAAATCCGCATTTCCAATTGGATCAGTGCGATTCCAAACCGACGCTACTAGACACCCAGCCAAATCTCCATTCTCTTGAAGGACTACTGTAGAAAATGGGTATTTCAGGCAACGGGTTACTGTGGTGTTGAAAATCGCTTCAGTGGTTTCTGGACCTAATCTTAGAGCCTAAAAAGATTCCACTTTCCAGAATACTTTGTCAAAATTACCCTTAAACAAGGCTCCTCTTTAGCGAAATGGTCAGTCAGAAATTTTATAACTCTTTCCTTGTCGGTTGCCTTTGCAGTTCGGAATAATAATTGAGGGGTTCGTAGGGTTTTGGATAGGATCATGGTCACCTAAAATTTTTTTGCTAAAAATAAAATTTTTCAGAAATTATGAAACGAAAAAAACTAATACGTTAGAGGCTTGAAAGAAATGAGCACTCTTTTCACAATTTTCAAAAGACAGCCATCAATTTTTTCGCTGTCACCAGTCTGTTTATCAAAAAACCCGATCATTCCAGTTCCTTGTTTTGTTTACTATACTGATGTCTATAAAACCTTCACTATTGTGAGAAAAACAGAAAATACACAACATTTATTTATTCATGCGAATTCTAGAAATCACCAGCCGACGCCTTCAACTTTGAGCCCATATATCTCGGTTCCTGTAAAAGATACCGAAAAGTGGTCAACTATTATTGTTGTCCGAAAAAATTGGGGTTGAGACGCAGACAGTTAATCGAAATATTTCTCTGCGTCTCCACCGACTGTGCGCTATTTAGGCTTGTCGCTTCGAGGTGCCTACTGTATTCAGACTGCAAAAAATACTCTCTCGCTCCAATTTTTTCGCACAACAATAATAACAAAATGTTTATCATAATATCATAAATATTTTGTTAGTTGACAAAACTTTGATATCTTCCACAGGAACTGAGATATGTATAGATATATCATATAGGGGCTCAAAGTTGACGGCTTGGATGACCTTCTAACGGTATATGCAATCTTCAGAAGACCTTATAAACCTAAAATTCTTCTTTAGATTAGCCAATAATGGTATTTATCATCGTTCCACATTCCCATCATGTTATACTTCTGCAAAAAAGAAGCAAAAAGCGATAGGTCCCACCGAGATTTGAACTCGGGTCGCAGGATTCAGAGTCCTGAGTGCTAACCACTACACCATGGAACCGACAGCGCACCACTATTGCAAGTGTGTAGATAAACAATCAACTTCGGCGACAAAATGAGAGGGAAATGCCTTGAAGGGTGTCTTGACACGAAAGTTTGCAATTACAAAGAGATCAATGGAGTTGAAAAATAGAAAAGAAAATCGATGAAGAACAGCACCTGCAGTGTAGAAATCCAGAAGTTTAAGTGCACAATTTTGAGTTTTTTTTTCTATTGTGCATTTTCTCAGAAAATGCGAAACGAAGAATCGGCATTTTTTCGGTTCGATTCCATGGAGCCTTCATTTCTCAGAATCTCTGAAGACCGGTGAGAATTCCGCTGAACTGTTTTCCTGGACAGCATCACGATAGATGGCATTCTTGTGAGCTGAAAATGCTAGGGGAGAAAATTTGGAGGCATTTTTAAATTCAATTTTCGTATATTATCCGGGCTAAAAGACATACAATAAATTACATCATACTAACATCACTCATTTGGGAAAAAATAACCCATAAGACCAGCAATTAACAGAAGGAAACAAATAAATAATGGGCAAAAAATTGAAGAACAAGAGAAACGCGTTATAAAACTAGGTTTACACCATCGTTCGCACTTCGAAGAATCGCTTCAAGTAGAACACTTGTCCAATTGTCATTCCGACGAGTACGAATGCCTCGAACGCCGCCCACATCACGACACGAGAGTTGGTGTTTTCGTTGACTGAAAATAAGTTGGTTTTTTAGGAAAAGGAAGGAAGGATCTCACTGTTTCGGTGAACTCGTTCTCTCACTTCCATGTACTCTTGCTCGTGTTTCACGGACATCAAGGCGGAGGAGAGCTCGCGGACCATCTCTTCCAATTTCGCGTTATCAGCTGGAATGAAGAAATTGACATAAATAGAAAATTCTAGTTCTAAAATTTAGGTAATTTTTCTATCAAAGCTGCGCGCATTGTTATGAAGCCAGGTTCATGCTTCTAACGATTTCTACTTCTTCCAAGGTCCAGGATTATACTCTCCGGCATAGAATTTCGTCGATTATTAGAATCTTTTTCAAGTTTTAACGCAAATAAACCTTACCAGCATCTTGACTAGCAGCGGCTCCTGGTGCTTGTTGATGTGGCTCGGTGATCTCCACGGTGAACATCACAGCCTTCGGCGTCATAGTACTCATCTTGTTTCCGAAACAATACGTGTAAATACCATCCATATGAGCGGCAAATGTGAATTTTCCGGACGATTCGCGTTCTCCTTTGTAGATTTCCTTGTTATCCGGTCCAGTGATCTGAAGTACAGATTTTTATTCAATTTTTGAGGAAAAAATCAATACCTTGACATCAATATCGAGGAATCCGCCTTCGGCAACCTCGAACATTAATCCCATCTTTGTTCCGGAGGTTAGTCGATCGAAAAAGCATTGTTCCTCATTGGCGTCGACGTGAATGAAGTAGGAGGCGGCTGGGGTGACGAGCAGCACTGCCAGAGCCCATGTTATCGAGTTCATTTTTGTCAGTTTTTACCTAAATTTTTGAAAATTAATTATCTTTAAAATTGTAGATCAATAGACGGAGGATAACGAAGGTTTTCAACGGAAAAACGGAAGAATATTCACTGCGACACGTCACAAAATTGCGCTAAACAACGCGCGCTACGGGATAGCGGAGTGACGTTTGTGAAATTTTTTCTGCATTTTGCTTGATTTTCAACACTTTATTAAGTTTTCAAAGGCTATTTACAGTCAAAATGATTCAACAAGTATAATTTAAGTACAATATTTACAGTAAAATCAGTGAAAAATCATAAAATTAATGTTTCGTCAGCCGAGTCACTGAAAGCACGGCAAAGACGAATCCGACAAGAAGAACGGTTAAAATAAGCAGTACGAAAATAATTTTTACAGATTTATGAATTCCACTCGGTTCTTGTGGGCACTCGGGATCGTAGCCAGTTTCAATGCTGTACACCGCCGGGATAATGCCGTGCGGAGGGAGAGTGATGCTGGAAAAATGATAACAAATCCTAAAAATTAAAGTAAAAATACCTAGACGTCCTTCTAGAATTCGAGTAGAATCGATCAAGATCTTCTTTGGAGTTGTGCATTTTTTCTACAATAGAAATTAAAAAATATATACAACGATAAAATTGCTCAAAAATAAAAAAAAAACGAAAAAAGAAAGAAAGATTCACAATTAAGCTTTGTTATTGACACTTTTTATATCGATGGTCGCTTAGATAACTGTACCAAAGCGACCTCGTGAATCTGAAAGAGCCTGAAAATTTGTATGTTTACACGTGTCACATGGCCTAGAAATAACATATTTTTATCATAAAAAGTCTGTTTACACACCTTGAGCTATTTTGAATAAAACAACGACCAAACATTTTATTGAATAGATTGAAACACAAAAAATAATAAATAATACGAAAAAAAAATTAAACAAGGGAAACGGTCATCAGAACAGCTAAGACCAGAATAACAATAGCCAACATTATGATAAAAGCGAGTCCGAAGAGTTTGTTGAGTTGACGACGGAGGTGTTGATTGCGTGCAGGTGCTGATCGATAAGCTGAAAATTTTCCTTTTTTTCATTAAAAAAATTGAGACAAAGGTCCCAACTATCGTAACCTAATAAAATTTTCATTTTCTGGATTTATATTCAGTCAATTTTTCACTATTATTCTTGTCCGGCGCCGATGAACCTTGTGACCGAAAAATTGAGTTAAAGGCGCATCGTCGGTTTTGAAGCGAAATGCGCCTTTGACACAGTACTACGGAATTATTGTATTTTTTTGCCTATTCCTCTTGGGTTTTTGTGCTTGTTTTCTTTAAAATTCTTCAGATTCTCTTGAATAATCAACTGAATCCCCTTTTAAAGTAGAAAAAAAGTCGACAATGGATAAATTAATTGCGAAGTACTGTATTAAAGGCGCATGAATTTATTTTGTAAAAACCGTAGTTGTTTTCGCTTCACGACCGACGATGCTCCTTTAAATAAATTCTCGACCATCGGGGCCAGACAAGAATAATAGTGACATCCTAAAAGGAGCATTTAAAGGTGGGAGGACAGGAGATTTTTCGTAGGATTTTTGTAGCTAGGGTATGCATTCTACCGTGACGGTGTACATCGCTTAATGCCACTCTGCGTACAGCTGTCGTCCTCGCCTTTATGTATGCAATCAGGCGGCAACTTTCTCTTTGCCCGCGTGGCTCAGTCGGTAGCGGCGCCGTACCCTCAATCATCGCCCCCACAAGTTCAACTCCTCGAGGGGCATATTTAAAAGGAATTTCGAGAACATTATTTTTTCATGTCTCCCCACCTTTAAAGGAACATGTATTCTAGTAATTATTTTCTGGCCTACTTTTTTCGATTTTTCAATGAATTTCGTCGATTTTAAACTATTTTTGTTTACATGAGGTCCGAAAAACCGGGAAAAAAAAATCATAACATTGAAAATTATGGAAAATAATCACGAAAATACATCATCCTTCAAATGCGCCTTTGAGAATGTCGCTACCGGATCTGCGCACCGCTCACAGAGGGTTCTGCAACGATAACTACAGTAACCTAATAATATAATTATTTTCTCGCTTTTCACTAATTTTCGTCGATTTTTTCGTTCTGATTTCTTGAAATTGCCGGAAATTTGAAAATTTCGAGAAAATATATCCTGAAAATAAAAATCTATTTAGGTTGCGGTAGTTGTCGTTGTGGGACCACTTCCTAAGCTCCGATTTCTGTTTAATCCTGTCAAATTATTTTTCCGGCAGTCACCTTTTTTACGACTTCGCAACTTTCAAAAATCAATTAAACTTTAATAAACCACCTGATACTGTCTGCAGAAGCGCATCCTTATGTTTGAGAATAACCTACTGATAACGAACTCGAAGAGAAAGAATAAAAAAAAATCAAAGCTCAAACTCACTTCTATGCATTCGAATCGCATACGATTGTCGTGGAAGTACAGTATACACTCGTTGAGGTGGCGGGGGACGTTGAGGCTCCTGAGCACAAGGAGGTCTTGAAGGGAATTCTCTAGGACAGTATGCCGGAAGTTCGTCAGTATAGATGTCTCCGTTCGTCGTGTAGCTGGGAGGGAAGTCGTAATAACTGGGTGGTGCTTCTGGAAGGGTTCTTCGCGGGGAAGAAATTGGTTTTGGGATTTCGGCGTCGTTTGATGTTGATGGATTCATCTGGAACTTTGTTCTGGAATATCAGGATTGAAAAAAGGAAACACAAAAAACGGTATACATGAATTGAAGTGAATTGGTTGGGTCTCCGAAATTTCGTTTGACCTGTGATAGAAGTCACTGTAGACTCTTAATTTTGAGCTAATTTATCTAGGTCCTTGTGAAAGATATCAAAAAGTAGTCAACAGGAAACATGATTGTGATATTATAATAATCCTTTTGCCAGCTGACTACTTCTTGATATCTGTTACAGTAACCGAGATAAATTGGCTCAAAGTGCACATATATCCTTCTATTAATATGTTTATGGTAAATTGAAGATGAAGTTAAGAATATTAAGGCTACATCGAAATTTTCACTGTTCGGTGAACCTTGTAGTTCCAAAAATCAAAATTAGTTTTCTAGGGAAAAAATGATGATAAACTTTTTATTAGGGTGGATCCGTTTCGCCTACGCCTGCCCACCCTTTACAGTCATTTCCTAGAATCAAAGCTGTGGAAAAGAGACCGAAGGTCCCACAACGATAACTACCGTAACCTAAAAACATTTTTGTCGGAAAATAAAACTTTTTGATAGTCGAAAAATTGACTGAAAAGCGCACAAAAACCGTGAAAATGAATCGCGAAAATAAACATATATTTAGGTTACGGTAGTTTTCGTGGTGGGACCTTTTCAGGGACCACGACCACAATCTTGAATGAGTTAATTTCAGATCACTAAAGTTCAATTGAAAAAATCCTCAGAACGTGTCTTGACTGAAAAAGAATTAGCCTCGAACAATGGTCTCAACTGGAAACACTCTTTCTCGTCCCCTTCCTTCCCCCATCTGATAACAAAATCTTGCACTCTTTTTCTCTAAATTTCGCCATTAACTGACCTCTTTCTTGATAATAATTTGGTGGAAAAAATTGTTACATGCACGTTCGAAAACCGTCTTATTGAAAAGTTGTGTGTTATCAGCAACAAAAAATTATCTACAGGAAAATTGAAACATGTGGCGAGTGCGTAGATGAGCAGAATTAGTTTTCCATTGAGGATGTAGAGTCTAGAAGCTTCTGGAAACATCTGAAATATTCTCAGTGTTTCCAGAACTTTCAAAAAATACATTTTCCTGCTTTCAGTGCAAAAACGGGCCAAAAACAGGTATCTTTCAGAAATCGGCGAATAGCTGAAAAATTAAAGATTTCCAAAAATCCAAAAAATTTTGTGAATGCAAAGTTTTCAATCTAGCTCTACTTCACACTGAATTTTCAAAGTTATTGGAAACGTGATAGGCGAGCTCCAGTCTTCCGAAAATGGTCAAAACCACCTGAAAAATACGTTTTTGTATATGCTATTGACCGGTACTGTGTTATACTGAAACTATAAATTGCAATCCAAAATTCGGGAATCTCATTTTCTATATTACCGTCATCAAGAATTATATGAAAACAACAAACTGTGTTTTAGTAAATTTTTGGTTCCTGAAAACATAGATTCGGTTCACTTCAGATGTATTTCTCTATTCGAAAAAAAAACAACCATTATTTTTGGGAAGGACTAGGATCATCTTTCCTGGGAAATTCAAAATTTTTATGAGCCTATTTTTTTACCTTTTTTTCGAAGACTTCAAAACCAGGAATATCAAAGATACAGTACTTTTGAACTTCACTAATTAACTTTAATTCGTGTTAATTACCAGATTTGAGACGGAGCCAATCAGCAGTGCTATTTTTGACCAATTTCAGGAGTCCGAAACTCGGCTGTCAAGTGTCCGATCACTTTAATAAACTTTGGAGAATGGAGAAGAGACCTATTATAGATTCAAAACTATGTATGCACAGAATTGTTTGAAAGTTCCTAGTTTTCCGGCTATTCGGCGATTTCTGAAAGAACCCTTTTCTGACCCATTTTTGTTCAAAAATCGTGAAAGAAACAGGTGTCTTTCTGAAATCGACAAATAACTGAAAATCTAGGATTTTTCAAAAATTCTGTGAATGCAAAGTTTTCAATCTAGGTCTGTTTTACACCCTCCTAAATTTTCAAGGTGATTGGAACCTTGACAGCCGAGCTCCAGATCACTGAAAATTGTGAAAATTACCGAAAATCAACTGAAAATCACATTTTTGTATATCTCATTGACCGATACTGTACATATCTTTCTCAAGTCAAGTGCACAAATCCAGTCAAGCTCAATCAAGAATTGATTTTTTAATAAAAGTTTTTAAACAAAATTCAAAAATAGAAGAATTCAATTTAAACTTTGTTGACAAATTGTTCTGAACGTGAAGCTCATCCTTCTTTTCTTAATGTCCCTGTAGCCTTTTTTCTCAGAAAATCTCCTTCCTCCATTCTGTGTCCTTTAGTTTAATAGTTCAAAAAACTGTGTTCAATCGACCAAATCTCACTTTGCACAAAATGAATACAAATGAAATTTATTAACATAACCCAAGTCACCAAATTAGCATGTGTGCTGGAGAAAAGTGAATAAAAGGAGGACGCCATCCCCCTCATTTCATCAGAAAACACAATGAATTTGGTCTTCAACACTCTTCTCATCACCGGACTCATTGCATGCTGCGAAGCCGCTTGTAACAGTTAGTCCCAGAAACGTTTGGTGTGATTCAGCTGACTGTGATTTTTCAGCTTGCGCTTGCACCGGCCACCCGGATCTTTTCACGAAGGAATTGGTTGCCGGATTCGAGCAGACTGTAATGAACTTAACGTTCATTGAGGTGAACTGTCAGAATCGTCGATTGTAAACTGGAATTGGAGTGCGATTTTGGGGGAGAAGAGTGGGACTTCGGTGAGAAAATTGATTTTTACCCTAATTACGATGGTGTGGTGAGTTTTTTTGTTGCTATATCTCTAAATGGTTTTGGTTATTTTCAGAATGACCAAGCTACAAGCCTTGAAGCCTTGGTATGCGTTGGAGGCAGCACATGGCAAGCACATACACCACGCTTCACCGAAGTTAAAAATATTGGATGTTACGGAGCTAAAAATAATCTACCATTTTGAAAAAACTAAATACAAATAAACTGTTTTGGATCATTTTTCTTGTCTTAATTTTAATGGTTCTGAAATCTCTTTCATGTTATACATATTTTATCAGTATTCGTTAACTAGCTCCATCTGAAAATATCTCGTTAAATTACTTCCGAATTCATTAAGGTGTAAAGGGACCGATTCTGAAAATCTAAAAAAATTGGCTAAGTCGGTTGGGTTCAAACATTTTCAGTCCATTCGAAATCTTTACACAACTGGAACCAGACTATTCTTAAAAAATGAGATCTGACTTGAATCTAAATTGACGAACTTATACATATTTTAAGGCATTCTCTTCACTATGTCGAACAAATTTTCAGACGGTTCTCAGAGGGCGGCTGAAAATTGTCTTCTGAAAATTTTTTGGCTGATTTGTGCTCGTACTATCCTTCTAGACCTTTGGAAAAAGACAGTTAAGTGGTGAGGCCCAGGCTCCCAGGCTCCCAGGCTCCCAGGCCCAGGCTCCCAGGCACCCAGGCTCCCAGGCCCAGGTTCCCAGGCTCCCAGGCTCCCAGGCCCAGGCCCCCAGGCCCAGGCCCCCAGGCCCAGGCCCCCAGGCCCAGGCTCCCAGGCCCAGGCTCCCAGGCCCAGGCCCCCAGGCCCAGGCCCCCAGGCCCAGGCCCTTGTCCTGGCTCCAGCCGGAGCTCCTTCTCTGGTCCCCTATCTGGAGCCCCGAGAAGACGAGAACTGATTCTTTCCTCCTTTTTCCTATTACTTCATATCTTTATGAGGCCAATGGGTCATCAAGGGTCATAGACTTCAAAATCAATTCACGTAGTTTTTTTTTCTATAAATCGAAAAGTTTTATCTTTTTTTCCTCAAACGCTAGTTTCTCCACAATATGTTTTTTTTCCACGTTTAAATAACACTTGAATTTTCAATTTTAAAAAATGAAACTCCTTATGAAGAGCTTTTCTTTGAACCTGATTATCTCGTTTCCCGTTTGAGATATCAAAAATGTGTCTACTAATAAAATGTTCCTCGTGATATCAGTAACATTTTGTTAGTCGATCATTTTTTGACATCTTACACAGAAACCGAGATAAATAGGCTCAAAGTTAAAAGTGACAGCGTGGGATCTTTTGGAAGTCTGCCAATGATCGAAAATGAATTTCAAGCTTGAAAGCGCTTGAATAATAAAGTTCCAATCTTCTAGTATACCGTGGCCTAGAAAACTCCCATTTCCTCTTCCACATTTTTTCCAATTTCCAGGTAAACGAGGTTACCTCCAACAACGATGGACCGCGTATCAGGGGATGCACGAAAAATTAAGGGTATTTTATAGTCAGCGTTTCCGGACCTGTTGCACTGAATTCGGCATTTTTTCCCTTATCGAAATTTCAGGGCCTTTGGAACTGTCTCTGAAGAAGAAAGAGCTTTCAATTCGAACGTTTTCTGCTGACTCTGAACGAAAACAACTAATCCTCAAAGTTCTGCTGTTTTGTGATTTTTTTTTCGAACTGATGAGAAAAAGTACTTCTGAAATCTGATCAAAAACAAACAAATAAAAAGTTGACACCTGTGGGACTCGAACTTCCATCTTTCGGGTAAAAGGGTAAAGCGTTAACCGCTACAATACGGGCGGCCACAAGACTTGTGATAGAGATGGCGAACACGTGTGCGGGTTCATATCAGAGATGTCAGGAATTCCGACTTCCGACTTACTACTTCCGATTTCCGGGCATTTTTTCACTTCCGACTTTCTAGTTCGAAATTTCACTAACGACTTCCGACTTCCGGAAAATCAGTTTTAATTCCTGCTTCAGACTCTCAAACTCCGGCAATGAATTTTTGCGAAAAATTTTGCGAAATTTGCTCTTTTTGGCCAGAAAAATAATAAAAAAAATGTTCAAAATTAGCGCCAATAAAATAATGCTCCGAAATAACAGTAGGCTATAAAAAGTGGAACATTTGAAAGTTTACTTCCGACTTCTGACTTCCTATTTCCTACTTCCAGGCAATTTCTCACTTCCAACTTCCGACTTCCGATTTGGCCTAATGACATACAAAAAAACAAGTAAGATAAAACTGGTAGGTACCATTGTAGTAGTAGATCGTTAAGGAATGAGCATCGTTACGTCTGAATGCATACCCTAAAAAACTCCGAGAAATCTCCTCTTCAATTTTTTTGGAATAGTCTAGCTTGCCCTCAATCAACTTTTTTCTGAAAAAAAGAATCTAATTGCCCTTATGAATATGAATTGTATCACCTCAGCAAGTGCTCATTAGCAAACTAGATCTCTTGAACATTGTTCTAATCAATGTTTTTTTAAACAGAAAAAAAAAACATTACCAGTTTAAAACAATCAATCTGCATATGTGTCTAATTTTGCATATTCATGAATCCCAAAAGTGAATAAAAAGCGGAAAAAAATGCGGTTGAAGCGGAAAATCACGAATGATTCCAACCACCTTCCTTCTACTTGTGTTTTTGGCACAAGTTGATGCTGCATGTGGGCCTGCACCCACTGCTCCCCCAGAGGTCAGTTGAACACTTCGAACCTTCGAACCAAAAACCTTTTTCAGCCAACTTCTTCTACTTTGAAGTTCAGCACTTTGGAATCTTTGATTACTTCAACGACAAAACAATTGACGAACTCTGTGAATACCATCAATGTGGAAGTTTCCATGACTACGAAGGAGCCAACTTCAGGTGTGTTATGGGAATTTCGGGGAATTTTAGCGTATGATTTGAAGAATTATAGAGCTTTGAAATATCATGTTCTAGTACAAAACACCTTTTAAAAACGGAGTCTATGAAAAATGGGCTAAAAATCCGGAAAATCAGGGCCATATATGCGATAATTGATTATCTTACAAAACCAATTATAACACCAGCTCAACTATTCTAATCCAATACAGAGCCTTCGACAATCACCATGGAACCTAATCACACCACTACCGAGACGTTCACCAATACAACACTGCCATACAACAACACATCAGAACCTCAAACTTCTACTGTTGAACCTTCCCTTACTTCTACAATGCCTTCGAACTCTACTATCGAATATAACACAACTGTTATTGAATCAACATTCACATCTTCGCAATCATCTACTCGTCCATCGGAATCTACCATAACTGGATCATCTACTGCACTTTCGGAACAATCCACCAGACCGTCTGAAGGTACCACTGGTGGTACTGATTTTTCCATAAGTCCTGGATCATCTACAATACCTTTCGAACATTCTAATAGATCTTCTGATTCTACAACAAGTGGTACTGAATCTTCTACAAGCCCTGAATCATCTAGTACATCTTCTGAAGTTACCACTGGTAGTACTGAATCTTCAACAAATCCTGGATCATCTACAACACCTTCAGAACAGTCTACTAGACCTTCTGATTCTACAACAAGTGGTGCTGAATCTTCTACAAGCCCTGAATCATCTAGTACATCTTCTGAAGTTACCACTGGTAGTACTGAATCTTCAACAAATCCTGGATCATCTACAACACCTTCAGAACAGTCTACTAGACCTTCTGATTCTACAACAAGTGGTGCTGAATCTTCCACAAGTCCTGGATCATCTACAACACCTTCAGAACAGTCTACTAGACCTTCTGATTCTACAACAAGTGTTACTGAATCTTCAACAAGTCCTGGATCGCCCACCACACCTTCAGAACAGTCTACTAGATCTTCTGATTCTACCACAAGCGGTGCTGAATTTTTCGCAAGTTCTGGAACGTCTACTACGCCTTCAGAACCATCCACCATATCTTCTGATTCTACGACAAGTGGTGCTGAATCTTCCACAAGTCCTGGATCATCTACAACACCTTCAGAACAGTCTACTAAATCTTCTGATTCAACGACAAGTGTTACTGAATCTTCAACAAGTCCTGGATCGCCCACCACACCTTCAGAACAGTCTACTAGATCTTCTGATTCTACCACAAGCGGTGCTGAATTTTCCGCAAGTTCTGGATCGTCTACTACGCCTTCAGTACCATCCACCATATCTTCTGATTCAACAACAAGTGGTGCTGAATCTTCCACAACTCCTGGATCATCTACAACACCTTCTGAAGTTACAACTGGCAGTAATGCATCTTCCACAAGCCCTGGATTGTCTACTATACCATCAGAACGATTCACTACATCTTTTGAAGTTACCACTGGTAGTACTAAATCTTCAACAAGTCCTGGATCACTACAACACCTTCAAAACAGTCTACTAGACCATCTGATTCCACAACAAGTAGTGCTGAATCTTCCACAAGTCCTGGATCGCCTACAGCACTTTCTGAAGTTACAAATGGCAGTAATGCATCTTCCACAAGCCCTGGATCGTCTACTATACCATCAGAACGATTCACTACATCTTTTGAAGTTACCACTGATAGTACTGAGTCTTCAACGAGTCCTGGATCGCCTACAACACCTTCAGAACAGTCTACTGGATCTTCTGCTTCTACCACAAGCGGTGCTGAATCTTCCACAAGTCCTGGATCGTCTACAACACTTTCGGAAGCCACCACTGGCAGTACTGAATCTTCCACGAGTCCTGAATCATCTACTACACCTTCAGAACCACCCACTAGATCTTCTCAATCTACCACAAGTATTACTGAATCTTCCATGGAACCTTCCACCACAACTACTGAAGCTCCGACCACCACCACCATGGAACCTTCCACCAGAACCACTGAATCTTCAACCACCACCACTATGGAACCTTCCACCACAACCACTGAAGCTCCGACCACCACCACTATGGAACCTTCCACCACAACCACTGAAGCTCCGACCACCACCACTATGGAACCTTCCACCACAACCACTGAAGCTCCGACCACCACCACCATGGAACCTTCCACCACAACCACTGAATCTTCAACCACCACCACTATGGAACCTTCCACCACAACCACTGAAGCTCCGACCACCACCACTATGGAACCTTCCACCACAACCACTGAATCTTCAACCACCACCACTATGGAACCTTCCACCACAACCACTGAAGCTCCGACCACCACCACTATGGAACCTTCCACCACAACCACTGAAGCTCCGACCACCACCACTATGGAACCTTCCACCACAACCACTGAAGCTCCGACCACCACCACTATGGAACCTTCCACCACAACCACTGAAGCTTCGACCACCACCACCATGGAACCTTCCACCACAACCACTGAAGCTCCGACCACCACCACCATGGAACCTTCCACCACAACCACTGAAGCTCCGACCACCACCACTATGGAACCTTCCACCACAACCACTGAAGCTCCGACCACCACCACTATGGAACCTTCCACCACAACCACTGAAG